ATTTTGTAACTCCTCCTTATGTCGGAGCATCACCTCGCCAAACAATGCCCATGAAAATGAATACGCAGTTACCTAGGCGCATTGAGGCAGGGGCAGGACAGATTTGGTATCTATGGTCGGATAAGACCGCCTACCTTGACAATAGTAAAACCTTCGACCACGAAGCTGCTCCTTGCGATTTGGTGACGTCTCTCTCAGACTCTAGCATGACCTATTTCCACGTTCCGTAGTTTCGCAAGGGCGAAGTGCTACTGTCTTACAACGCCCTATGTCATCATAGCATCTTTGACCTAAGATATGTTGATCATGCTAAAATAAAATAACAACCCCCGAAAGGAAAGAAAGAAAGAAAAAGAAAAAAAAAAAAAAAAAAAAAAAAAAAAAAAAAAAAAAGGACCCTTTTTTTAAAAAAAGGAAAATTACGCACACCAAAGTACGACAACCCCTAAAAAGATACTGATGAAAGCGGTGGGATTCGAACCCACGAGGTTTCCCACTACGGTAATTTATACAAGGATAAACCTAAACGTAGCGCCATAACCACTCGGCCACACTTCCATTTGTCGAACTTGCGAATTTTGTAAGAGTTCGATTCGTCGCTTGAAAGTTTGCAAAATAATTTGGCTTATGTTGCGGAGCTGGGTTTGTGGGCCGAGGGATTGTCCGGCCTAGGTCCTGATAGGTGGAGAGGTGGTCGGCCCGGAACCTTGGAAGCGGGAAGCGGGAGGGGGGAGGGGGGGGGAAAGATCACGTCACGTGAAAGCCTCTCTACATAGTATACCTACTCTCGTGAGATCATTGGTGCAAATACTAGACTAGCTTAGGACTTTCACGAAGGTAGCGACTAGAGGTAATCAGATTCTCCCTATTGTTTCCTTGCTTCTTGCTTCTTGCTTCCTTACCGAGAGTCTAATAAATTCTAACCGCTACCTTCGTAGGCCTATTGTCTAACTTTAAACTATGTAAGTAGAGACCCCGTGGGTGCGAATCCTACAGCTCCGGGCTGAACTCCCATTATCATCTTTCTGGGAGACTGGATGGCTAATCCTTTCTGAGTTCGGTTTAACGTTTTCCTAACACCTTCTCTCATTGATATATGTCCATTAAGACTTCGATATCCAAGAAGGCCGGCTCAAAGAGACAAATGCATAATCTAAGTAAATGTTTTATAACAACTTCTAGACATCTACCATTTCCTCGTCATCATTATCAACTATCTTCTACCACCACTGTGGCAGAGAGTGGGAGAACACGGGCTTCTGTGCGTTTGATTGAAGACTGAGGATATAAGCTCCGCTAAACTAAATTTGGGGAAACTCAGACTATGTGTTTGATGTTCAATACTTTGAGGTCTCCTACTAAATACTGACATTGATAATTGGTTTCCATAAAGGAATAGTCAGGGCTAAAGTCTTGTTAATAGTAGGAGTGACCTTGTACGAATACATCCACTACATATACTTGGATCCGGTCCTGGGCTATAGTAAATAACCCAAGGCCTCCTATAAGACGTAAGCCCCATTATAGTACAGCGTTATTACTGTGCTTGAGTCTTGACTAAATACTGCCCAGATGGGCTTAGTGCCCTTTTAATAACCTTATCCGCTCCTTGCCTGTTCAGTAACCATTTTTGATAGTGACTCTCCGGCCTTAATTCCAGACACCAAATTTATTTGATGGTCGGACTAGGATGAAACGTTTGATCCAATTGGCATAATTAGGATCATATTCACACTTCCTCATTGTCCCCTGAATGTTGCCCCATGCTCTAAATTCTAACTAGGGACTGTGATGGGTTGACATCACAACGCTTCGTGCCCCACCCCCACCTAACCAACAGCCATTCTGGTGCTGGTCCCTGTTGCAAATTACAGGAACCCCAAAATGCCTTTCGACGACGATGACGACCCAACCTTGACAGCCGCCTCGGCCCAGCCCGACGCCCTCGGTGCCCTTCCAGAGGATGTCGAAGATGCTCTCGAGGACGAGGCGCAGCAGGACTTTAGACTGTTCGCGCAGTCTCTGGCAGGCAACAGTAAGACGAAAACCTCGGGGCGGACGCTACGCCGCGGCGAGAAGGACTTCGAGTCGCACGGCACCCGGGCGCAGGAGGGCGCCCTTGAGGCCAGTCGCGAGGCCATGCACGATGTCCTCGGCTACACCCGCACCCACAAACCGAGCGGCTACCTGCGCGGCTGGTATTTCCCGGACCGGTGGGCGCACATGCCACCCGAGGATGCAGACGAAGAAGACGAGGAGGACGTAGACGATGGCAATAACGAAAATGGAGGGGACACTGCGGCAAAGAAGAAGGAGAAGAAAGATAAGAAAGCTAGCCCGGGAATGTTTACGAGAGACAGAGTCGTCGTGCTCGATCTCGAGGCCTCGCTACCTCTGTTCAAGAGCATGGGAAGGGTTGTCGCCGGCCTCGAGAAGGGCGCCCCCGCCTGGGGCAAGACATGGCTGCTGCCCGAGGAAGCGCTGCACCTCGTCGAGCGCGGGTCGCTGGATCTATGGTGGCCTATGCGAGGGCTTGAAGAGATATTCCCGCCGCAAACGGAAGGGGCAAATAAGAGTCGCGAAGATTCTGATGCCGTCCCCGGAGGTGCAAATGGGAAGGTCGCACCCGACGGGGAACCAGATTACGATATTGGCCTCCCACTAAGTCTCCAGGCGGCGTATTCGCTCTTCATCGGCAACGAAGGGGAAAGAGGGAAGATCAGCCTCGAGAAATACCAAGTCTACTCCAACCTACGACGTACCGGATACACAGTCCTCCGAGCCACCCCAACGCCTTTGTCACCACCAGATTCTGCTTCTTCGCTCACAGCGCGTCCCACTACGCTCTGGCAATGGCTCTTCTCCCTGTTCAGCCGCCCCAGCCCCAATTTTTCCAACTCCATATCCGCGACAACACCACCGCCACCGTCACCCAAGAACCCCCCTCCGTACGGGCCCCTCGTCAAGCCGGGCCTGTACCGCTCGTACAACCCCCTCTTCGCGCAGCTCGCCATCATCCCGCGCCACGAACCGAAACCCAACACGCAGTCCTACGGCCCCGCGCAGGAGCCGTTCCGGATCTACTACCACGTGTGGAAGAGCGCGCCGGGCTTCACCAAGTCGCGCCCGCCGCCGCCCGACTTCCGCATCGCCGTCGTCGACGCGCGCGAGTCCTCGGTGCCGACGCTGCAGCAGCTCACGGCCCTGGTCGAGAGCACGCCTTGGGACCCCCCGACGCCGGTATCCTCAGCGCCTCCGCGCAACAGGGTCAAGGACAACGGCAGCAGCAGTGATGCTGCGGCGGCGGCGGCGGGTACGAAAAAGCCGAGCCCGGGCCCGCAGCAGAGTAGCTACAACCCGAACATGAACATCGGGCTCACGTACAAGCGCCTGAAGCACGGCTGGCGGAACGCCATCGTCGCCGTCAACGACCGCGGGCTCATCTCGTACCTGCGGTTCGGCGAGATGGCGTTCGCGCACGAGAGGCTGTACGAGAGGTTCGATGGCCTGGGGCGGGGCGGCGGTGGTGGTGGTGGAAAGGGAAAGAGAGGTGGGAGAGGAGGCAGGGGGAGGGGAGGCGGACGAGGAGGAGGCGGGCGGGGTGGTAGGGGACGAGGCTGAGCTGAGCTAAGCTGAGTTTAATGGGCTTATTGACTTCCTTTGGAGAAGCATCGGAAGACCATAGCTGCTCTTTGCAAATCGCTGCGCTGCGCAGCATAGCGCAGCCGTGATGCTTGTGCTGGGTTGATGACAGGCTTGACTACCATGTCATATGACAGACCGTTAAACGACCTTCGTCATTAAGCACAACTACAAGTCCCGACTCTGACAACCTACGTGCCTAGAGTTTGCGGGAAAACCGCGCCTAGCCAGTGGTAGTGGAATCGGCCTTGCCACCAGAAGACGATGTTTCTGCTGAAAGTTACAGTGCTTGAGTAAACTGAGCATGAAGCGGTAGTTCGCTAGTTACCATATACCTACTCTCATTGGACTAACTTGTCCAGAGACTAAGGATTTAGAATCAGAATTATTCCTGGGAGGGGCCAGATAGAAGTCTTCCCTTACTTAGGCGCTCCATCAGTCTAGTGCTTAGCGATACTCAGTGGTAATACTATCAGTATATTGTCACCAACGAAGGTAGCAAATGAACGCCACATTCCGGCCTCTCATGTAAATTGTAGTTATCCTCAATATATCCATCCTCACGATACCCCTTTCTTTAGTATTTAGAAGGTAAGCGATGATCATCTCGAATATTGATTGAGCTTCTGGTCGAGGCGACAAACTGCTGTTATGGCAGACACATTCTACCGGTTGTCACACAGGAGATAACGAGAATAATCGTCGAATTGAATTGACTGATTGATTCCCGATTTCCGACATATGTGCGCCATTCGACGCTATCTGTCAGAGTTTACCAAGTTCCATCCGACGTACGATGCAACATTGGATGTTAACAACGCTCACAGCTTTGCAACGCAGCAACGCAGCAACAAGGCAGTGGGTACCCTAGAATCGTAGTCTACCTTCAGCAGATGCTATTGGAAGCCGCATCTTCGGCTGTGATGCCTCTATGTCTGGATAAACTCAGCTTGTCAGCAAAAAAGAATTATGACGCAGCCTCGGTGGCAAGATACAGGATACATGGAACAACAATCTACCATGAACAAGCCTAATCATTCCTTATAACTCTCATAATCTAAGTCATTGCCTTCGATTTTGCGTAACCCATTGGAACTGTTAGGTTTCCTTAATCAGCTACATTCGTGGGTTGGGAGCCGTAACAAAGCTATTTATATCAGGGGGCAACATATTTTCGTGTCCGCCCCAGGGCAATTTTGGATCATAACAGGGTCATAAATACCGTGAATGTGCCTTGATCATCATGCTGAAGAATATTATGTCGCCCCGGCATACGAGGTTGATGATATAGGGTTTTGATCCTGCTACGACATTTTTCTGGAAGCTATATTTTTTGTCAAAACAGGTCCATGCATTACTCATTCCTCTACCGTAAAGTTGCAAGCACCCCAGCTGTTTTTAGTCTTGCACAAAAATCAGGTTACGTTGGAGCAGGCTCCTGTTTCGTCAACGAGGGTTTTTTTATTCTCAAGTAATACACGTTCATTTTTTTTCGTACCTTCCTGGTAGCTTTAATAACCTAGCTAATTCTGGGTTCAGGAACCCTGCCACAACGCTCGACCGTACCCTGAGTTCTGCTCTAGGCTACATCTTGACAAAAACTTCCCGAGAGAAAATATCATGAGCCCTTTGCCTACTCATAGAGCTCCAGCTAAGATAGGGAAGAATGATGCAACTTCGACTTGCGTACTAACGTGCTTCAGGTCGATCGCTAAACCGAAGTATCCCATAACTCCAGGTTACCTGACTGACGTCTGGGTGCCTCCTCTACAGGTAGGTATGGCCACGTAACGAATATCCTTGAGGAACGATCATGTCGCAGACATATGTTTTGGTGATACGTCGGGCATGATATTCTATCCACTCAGAGTTTACTATTGAGGAAATGACGTCGTACAGGATCCCTCATGGAAACA